ACAGGGGACCCAAACCCCTGGCACAAAGGCCACTTGCTCTCATTAGTGATATCACCTGATGTCTTGTTAGCTGGCTAAACAAGACAAAGTCCTTTTTTTTTTTTAAGATTTTATTTATTTATTTGACAGAGAGAGACACAGTGAGAACACAAGCAGGGGGAGTGGGAGAGGGAGAAGCAGGCTTCCCGCGGAGCAGGGAGCCCGATGTGGGACTCGATGCCAGGACCCTGAGATCATGACCTGAGCCGAAGGCAGACGCTTAACGACTGAGCCACCCAGGCGCCCAACAAGACAAAGTCTTAATGGGCTCTAAAACTTATTCTTTCTTTCACACTTGATCTTAGCCAAAAGGCCAAGAAGCAATTATTATTCTTTCTTTCAGATTGAGCAAGCACAAGCTTTGACCTTGAACTCCACTGCTCAAAGTAAACCCAGTCTACAGAAAGGAGGCTGTCAGTTGTCTGCATCTCCCACTAGGCATCTTCCATCATCCTCATCATCATTACCATCCTTGCCACCATCATCATCATCATCATCATCATCATCATGTGAACACTCGTCAAGTGCTCACTCTGTGTCAGGAACTACATTAAACACTTTAAGTACATTCAATCACTTACAAATCTTCCAAAGGCGGAATCTACAGGAGAAAAAAAGGAGATGAATCCTAGGGAGCAATTTTCAGGAGCAGATGGAAGAAGAAGGGAAAACCTCTCCTCTTCCTTCTCTTGGTAAACGATAATATTTGTATTCCTTGCAGATGGTGCCTCCCTGGAATACTGTTGTGACAGCAAAGGCAGATTCCTTTGGACCACCTGTTGCTTTTCTCAGTGGCTTTCACTTTTTCCAACCTTTCGCTTTCTGGTCCATCTCTGAATGGATAGTTTTAGGAGCCCTTAATGGTTTTAGGAGCTTGTAAAGAGGTATCAAGCCAGCTGAGGCAGAAGAGGTGAGGAGAGGAGCGAAAGGGGAAAGGGATGGAGAAGAAGGAAGAGGAGAAAGTGAGAGAGAAGGGGAAGAGAGGGGGAGATGGAGCTTGAGTCTCCCACAAGAAACAGCACCCTATGCAACAGACAAACCACGTCCGGAATGTCCTGCCTGTGGAGCAACACTACTGGACCCAGATGCAGCGTTCCTGTCACACATGTCAGCCCAGAGTGCTGAACTGAACTTTAAAACACACGAGTCTATTATTAGTTCAAAAGGGATCTTTCTGGTGGTATTTTTTTCCCATATGCATAAAATTCCCTTATTTCACAATGCTCTCCGAAGCACTAGAGGAAATTAAAAAGCATGTTACACTTACCAAAGGATACACGTTGGCACTGTCATCCTTTTGAAACAAAATGTCCTCGCTGGTAGACACCAGTGATTTCTCCGGGATCTCTGCTTTGGACTGGAATTCTTTCTCTTGTTCGTCACTTAAGGATGATAATCTTTTCTCTTCTCTCCTTTCTTGTCCCAATTCATCTTGGGGCATCTGGTCGATTTTCTCCCTGAGCTCGCTTGAGGACTGTGTTTCAGGGAAACTAATATCTTGTTCCTCAGAACGGGTTTGATCCAAATCAAGAAATCTTAGTTCTGAGCTCAAGTCTCTTAAAAGCTCATTTGTTTCCGAATGCTCTGATTCTAATGCATGCTTTGACTCGCTAAGGGTTCTCTTAAAAAAGAAATAAAAGAAGATTGCAATTCCAAATACAGTGTGTAGCTGCTTCATTCCCTCCTTCACTTTCCTTTCTGTTCCTATTCAGCCAGCCTTAGTGTTTGCCTCACATTGAAACTATGAAGTGTTTTAAAAAGGAGTCTGGGGGGCGCCTGGGTGGCTCAGTTGGTTAAGCGACTGCCTTCAGCTCAGGTCATGATCCTGGAGTCCCGGGATCGAGTCCCACATCGGGCTCCCTGCTCAGCAGGGAGTCTGCTTCTCCCTCTGACCTCCCCCCTCTCATGTGCTCTCTCTCTCTCTCACTCTCTCTCTCAAATAAATAAATAAAATCTTTAAAAATAAATAAATAAAATAAAAAAAAATAAAAAGGAGTCTGGGGAGCACCTGGGTGGCTCAGTTCGTTAAGCATCTGCCTTTGGCTCAGGTCATGATCCTGGGGTCCTGGGATGGAGCCCCAGATTGGACTCCCTCCTCAGTGGGGAGCCCACTTCTCCCTCTCCCACTCCCCCTGCTTGTGCTCTCTCTCACTCACTCTCTCTGTCAAATAAATAAATAAAATCTTAAAAAATAACAATGATTAAAAAAAATAAAAGGGAGCCTGGGACATTTTATACTTAAATAGCATGAATCATGGGTGTGCCAGGTATATTCTTGGCCTACTAGCAGAACCACACAGCAAAACCATTCTTCTAAGTGGCACTGGTTGTCTCCAAGGATGGACGAGTCACAGAGTCACTTCTCCTTGGACCACAGCTGAGTCCTCCTTCAGGAGGAGAGCCTACATTACTATGATCACGCGGACTCTGTTCTTAGACAAGGACACTCTAACTAACCCCTAGGAGCTCTTTATGTCAGCTCCACTGCACACCTCCTCCAGGAAGCTTTCCTTGACCATCCTCCTAGCTGGGCTAAGTCCTTGTTTTTTGTTTTTTTAAATATCTCCCATGCATCTCTCAATCACTGCACTTAGCATATTGTTTTATGGTGTTCAGGTATCAGTCTGCCTCCCTACGTACCCTAGAGCTCCTTAAGAGCTCCTTAAGTGAATGGATTGTATTTTATTTGTATTATCCCCATAGCCTGGCATATGGTAAGCATGCAATGATTCTGAATGAATGAATGAATGAATGAATGACTTAAAATTACTACTTACGAGGGAAGTTCCTGACATGACTGACTGGGAATCAGTCAATATAAGTCTCTTCGAACTGGTCATGGACTTGGTGACTTCTGGAGGCTTCACTGTGGTTTCTTCCTGTCTTGCAGCCCCCTCCTCCTGTGCTGCTCCAGGCTTTTCCTCTGTTTCTTCTCTGACGGCCTCATCCTCCCCCCCTTCCTTCCCCACCTCCCCCCCTTCCCCTTGTTCCTCCCCCTCCCCCCCTTTCTCCTCCACTCCTTCCTCTCCTTCCTCTTCCTCCTCCTCTTGCTCCTCCTCCTGCTGAGGCTCTTTCGGTACTAATATGTCATCTTCCTTTAATTCCTGTTGCATACTTTCCACCTCTCTATAATATTGGTTATACTCTTCTTCCAGTTCTGTTTCTTCATCTTCTTCTGCTTCTTCTAGTGGGGACTCCCCTGCATCTGACATTCTTCTTTGTGGAGTTTCCTTTAGAGAAATTTTGACCATAACAATCAGCAGTTCCCTCTGTTTCCCATTTTAATTTCCTGGTGCACTAACCTATCGATGAAGTATGCAATACCAGCTCTGGTTCCTTTCCACAGGAATGAAAAGAATCTCATACTTCTGGGAAAGCCTGTCCCAAATCTAAAGCCTACTGATGCCGGGGCCTCTCATCTTTCTAGGAATAACTTTAGAGCATTGTAACTCACTTTATATATATTCATATTCCCACAGGCAGCAAAATGACAACCCAGGCATTAACAACAATTCTAATAATGTAAATAAGGGCAGAAGCAGCGGCTTAGTGGTTAAAAGCAAGGGCTTTGCAGTTGGCCTCTCCTAGCACTGAATCCTGGTTCCACCACTCACTTGCTCTGTGACCTTGGGCAAGTCACTGTACCCCTCAGAGTCCAAATTCGCTCACAGGCAGAATAAAAATGATAAATTCTGGGGTTGAGATGACACGTAAAATGCTCAACGCAGCTGCCGCAGAGGGCTTGAGAAAGGCAGCAATCGTTTACAAAGTTTAACAGCCTTCTAACATAGTCTCATTTCTTTCTTCCGACAAACTTGAGTTTGAGGCTCTGGGAGTTGAAGTGACTTACTCAGATCACACCGCTAGAAAGAGGCCGACCTCTCTAACGCTCGGTTCCTCAGCTGAAAAAACATCGCTACGATCTCAAGCCCGGGGCCCTGAGCACGGGGCCTGCTCGGACTGCAAACTTTGCCCGCGCATCTTGACGCGGGGCGGGGGGGGGGGGTCCAGGGGAGGGGAGAAAAGTGTGGGGGGGGGCTGCGGGGGGGGAACAACGCCCAGGCGCGGCTCCTTCCTCCAGCTCCGGTCTCTCTGAGGCTGCCCCGGGCCCCCGCCCAGGTGGGGCGAGCGCCCCCCACCCCGCGGGGCACCAGGGCCCCCGCCCCCGACTCACAGAGCTCGCCTTCCGACGGCCTCAAAGGCCCGGCCCGCCCGCCGCCTGGACCCCTGTCACCTCCGCAGCCTCCAGCGGCCGCCGCTTTCTCCTGCACGCGCTCCCTAGCTACGGTTGCCACCCAAGCCCCGTCCCCAAGGTAACCGCCGCCACGGCGACCGGCCGTAAAGCGGGAGGGCCGGCACAGCCCCTGGCGGTCCCCGGGGAGGGGCGCGGCTGCGGCCCCCGCGGCCAAATTAGCCTTCCTCGTCCCGACGACACTTTCTTCAGCTCCCTCCCCCGACTTCTTCCCAAGGTGCCGCCGAAGCCCGAGAAGCTGCAGCGGTGGCTACCTGCAGTTCTGACTTTCTGAAGGCCTGACGACGCGAAGTACGAGCCGTTTGGTAAAATTCTCTTTGCCAAAAGCAAACTAAATTTGCTGGTCTCTGAGACGCAGCACTTTCTCAAAGGCACTACATGTTGGGCGCAGTATTTTAGCTGGCTGGGATGACACACTACGTAGGCTACGTTATCTTGCTGTTCTTACCACAAAATGTGTCTGCAAAACCAGCTTGGTTCAACCTCTTAGGATCATTTCAAAATGACTCTCAGCTACGATCTCACACACCATCCTGAGGCTTCTAAAAGGAGACCTGCAGGAAGCCAGCCCAAGGCACTGACGCGGAACACGGGTGCTCTCATTTTAGGAGAATGTCAAGGATTCTCCCCGCCCCCACCCCACCCCCAAGCCCCAGCGCCGGCGGATTAATAAGCATACATCTCAAAAAAAAAAAAAAGGAACAAACTGGATGGTACAAGCTGTGTTTATTATAGTCTAGGGCTTATAAAAAGAGATTGGAAAACACTTGGAATCAGAACACACACAATTTAAACAGCAAATGCTGGTAAGCACTGCCTGTCTGTGGCCACAAGGGGGTGGTGCATGTGGATGTTAACTTTTGGGGAACACGCTCAACAGGAAGGTTTTCCAGCTGAGCATGAGAATCCACGGCTGGAAAAGCACGCCCCAGTGTTGACTCCTGTCAGGGCAAGCTGGTTTCTGTATCCAACCCAAGCAAATCCATTCCCAAGGAACCCAGGCATGCCTCAGCAGAATGGGCCACACCACCTCTGAGACACAAAGTGGTGCGCAAGAAATGGGGAAATAAACACTGGGATAAGGTGGAGAGAGAAAGTAAAACACAGGGTCACTAAGAATCACTGAAACCCATGTTGCCATGTGAAAGGGAAAATAAAAGGAAGAAGGAATCAGCATTTTCAAGAAGTCAGATCTGCACACACTGCTGGTTCCCATCAGCGATCAAGCACACCCTGGCAGTTTACAAACTTCTGTTGATCTGAGGGAATGATGAGGAGGTTCAATTATAAAAAATCAATTTAGAAGGTAATTTGCAAGGCTTTTTATTCCAGAAACGAACGGAGCTTGCTGCCCTCTGGTGGTTGACAGAAGAGGAAGCGGACACTGCATTTAGCTGCGCGGGTAGCTGCATGGGGAGCTTCCTGGTTTTCCCTGTTCTTCAAGGGAGCAGTTGTGGCCCCAGAGGATATAATTTCTATATCCAGAGCAGCAATGCCACAATGCAAATGCAGATGGTGCAAACGCCATTCACTAAAGTTTCATGTTTGTTCTGTCCAATTTTTTTTTTTAATAAGCTCTACACCCAACATGGGGCTTGAACCTACAACTCGAAATCAAGAGTTGTATGCTCCACTGACTGAGCAAGCTAGGCACCCCTGTCCAACTTTCTATAAGAATGTTCTAATTCCTGTCTAAGCTTTGGTTTGAGAAGTTCATAAGAAATTCAGTTGGCACTACATGTTAACTAAATTTAATTTAAATAAAAAATTTTTTTAAAAATCCAGTTGGGGTGATAACATGGTCATATCAGCACTGAAACCTGTGTTTATTTGGGGAAAAAAAATCCTAAAAGAATAAAGTCCTATCAGCACCTACCAGAATAACTCCCGCCCACTGGCCCACAATCCAGAGGACTCCCATTTAGGGCCATGGTCTAATTTGCAAAAGATGCCAAGCACAAATCAAGTTAACAATGCCTTAATCCCAAGAGATTACAATGGGAGGCCACAGCATTTCCTTCACCCAGAAGTTCAGGTTTCCAGCCTCTTCCAGATCCTTAAGCTTCAGGGAGAGAAGAGAAGGAAAAAATTCCCACCAGACCCACGTCCAGGACAAGGGAAGGTGTTTTCCTATTACTGTTCCCCAGGGACAATCATCTTTGCAAAGGAATAATGTTGCAGCTGTTAGAAAAAAAGAAAAGGAACAACATAAGTTTGGTGGCTCCATTCAGAAGACCAGAAAGTGAGCCCTCTGAGTGTTTCACCTGCATTCTTTAATTCTTTTAAAGCAAATGCCCAGTTATTGAAAGAACCAGAGTGACCAGGGCTCCCTCTGCCTCCATACCTGCAATCTCATTCCTGCCGCAGGTGCTTATCAGGAGTTTCTACAGGTGATCTGGGGAACACCCTCATTCCCAGTGGCCCCCTCCCTTCCTCCCCAGAGCTTTAGGGCTGACACACACTCAAGCAACAACTGACAGGGCGTTGTCAGCGAGCAGAAATGATACTTTACCCCAGCAGTCCTTTTCCTGCCCAGCGGGTCGGGACAAGTCTAAGCTGGTGTTTCTCCCCTCTGCGGATCACTGTCACATTCAGGGGTTTCTGAAAGGAAAATAAGCTCATTTTATAGTCAACCTGTTTAGTATTCAAAGAGATTCAGATTAAAATGCCAAGATACTGACTTTTGCACAACAGAGTGGTAAGGATGCTTATATTAAGCATAGTCCTGCAGTTGTCAAGAGTGTGGGGGATGTGACACTCTTGGGGCAGCCGATGGGCCACAAACTGGTAGCGTCTTCCTGGACAAACACGTCTCTCCACCAAAAAAAAAAAAAATCTTTAAAAAGGCACACATGAGATACATTTTGCAGAACTACGAGATGATATATGAACAAAGTGTTCCTTCTAGGACTGTTTATAAATTCAAAACCTGAAAACACCCAAAATATCCCTCGATAAGGTATTATTCAAATATAGCATAGTGAATGAAGCAGTTTTAGTAAAAACAAAACGAGCAAAGTATGAACCCATCTGAATATACGTTTTTGTGTTTGTTTTTTTTATTTCTTTTTTAAATTCTTTTTTAAGTAGGCTCCATGCCCAATGTGGGGCTTGAACTCTCCACTCTGAGATCAAGAGTTGCATGCTCTACCAACGGAGTGAGCCAGGCACCCCTGAATATACCTTCTAAAAGGGCATATATATATTGCTTCATGATACAAAGCTTTCTGGAAGATATACAAAAAAACTGTTAACAATGGTTACTTGCAGAGAGAAGCACTAGGAGTTTGGAGTGAAAGAAGATGACATTTACTTTTGTATCTTTTTTTTTCTTTTTTCTTTAAAGATTTTATTTATTTGAGAGACAGCAAGTGAGAGAGCACAAGCAGGGGGAATGGCAGAGGGAAAGGGAGAAGCGTACCCCCTGCTCAGACTCCAGGTCCCCTGCTCAGACTCCAGGTCCAATTCCAGGACCCAGGGATCATGACCTGAGCTGAAGGCAGATGTTTAACAAACTGAGCAACCAGGCACCCCTACTTTTATAACTTTCTGTACCATTAATTTGTTTTTACCATGTGTATGTATTACTTTGATATAAAAAATTAAAATAGAATACATATGAAGGCAACTTACAAATTACAAGTGCATCAAAATCTAGAACGTTGTGCACCAAAGGACACTATCAACAGAGTATATCAACAGAGTGAAGGGCGCCTGGGTGGCTCAGTTGGTTAAGCGACTGCCTTCGGCTCAGGTCATG